GTGATCCTAGGCACCACGGGATTCACACCCTGCACACTACTGCAATAATATCTGTGCAAAATATGCCCTATGAGCCATAGGCACCAACTCCGTGGGTGCTCCGGGGCTCAAGCACCCACAGAAAGAAAATAGGGGGTGCTCAGCACCCACCATCCACAGTGGTTCCAGCCCAGGCTGGCCACTGATCAGCTGTTCAGCGGGCCCCGAACGGCCAGCAGAGCAGTGAGCAGCTAGTGGAAGGCGCTTGGGGTGGGAGGTGGAGAGAAGCTAGCAGAGGGCATGTGAGGGATGGGCCTCAGGGAGAGGGGCAGATTGGGGGAGGGAAGAGGCAGAGCAGGGGTGAAGCACCCACTGGGGGGAAAATAGTCAGTGTCTGTGTTGTGAGTTATCATTCAAAAACTAATAACACGCCGGTCAATATCATTCAGAATTGTATGTGACAGTGCTGTAGGTGGAACTCTGGATACTCACTGCCTTAAAGCCTGTGATTAGAAGGTGTTTAAACCAGGCATTTCAGGGAGAGTTGATAAACAAAAGGTTTTCTCCAGACAAAGAAAAGAGGCCAACACCTGAAACCAGGTGTGGCCAAATTCAGTGGGCTATTCGTTTGTATCAGAGCTTGCAGGAAAAGATCATTTGCATCGTCTAAATCGCCAGCGGAAGAGAAGGTGAGGCAGCATAGAGACAGACAGCATGGGATAGCATCCACCCCCAGCAGGGAAAAAGAACTGTAGTTGGGGAGACATGTCAGAATAAGACATTTCTAAGGTTTACTGGGTTATAAAGAGACAGGAAGCAAATCCCTAAATTATCCTTCAGCTGAGGAGACAAGGAAAACCAGCACCTTGAACTCTGACAGCGGGGCTCCTGGCTGAAAGCTAGCCAGCCATTGCTGGGAACGGAAGATAGGGTGACCAGGCAGCAAAAGTGAAAAATCAGGACAGGGGGTCGGGGGTAATAGGAGCCTATATAAGAAAAAGACCCAAAAATCGGGACTGTCCCTATGAAATCGGGACATCTGGTCACCCTAATGGAAGACTAGTGAGGAAACTACCTTGTACAAAGATTGGAGCTTGTTAACTTAGCTCCTAGCCATTAGGAAGCGTATTTTTACTTTTGTTTGTTGTAACCCTTTCTGTTTTTATTCCTTCTACCAGGTATCACTTAGAGCTTGGCTACACTTGCAAGTTAGAGTGCATTAAAGCAATCCCGGGCACCCTAACTCCTGATCCAACCACACTGGCAAGGCACTTAGAGCGCCTGGACTCTGCAGCTGGAGCGCTCCTGGTAATCCACCTCCACGAGAAGCATAATGCTTGCTGTGCCTCGGCTGAAACGCCCGAGCATCAGCGTGAATGAGGTGTTGCATTACTGCGCTTTGATCGGCCTCTGGAAACGTCCCATAATCCCCTTAAGTCAAGAGGCCACTTTTGTCATTTTTTTGGAATCGGCTGTAGGAATGCGGCTATCCCCTTTCAAAGCTCCGTTTCTGACAGCCGGCTGCTTATCTGCTCCGGGACAAAGCAAGCCATTAGTGTGGAATGCTGCTTGCTGTGAGTGTGTGAGAGAGAGGCGGGGGCGGAGGGGAGAAGGGGTCTGAACTTACAAGACAGCATGCTGACACACTCTCAGCACCCCAAAAACCCACTCTCTCCCCCCCCACATACACACAACACACTCCCTGTCACACTCCACCCCACCCCCCACATTTGAAAAGCACGTTGCAGCCACTTGAACGCTGGGCTAGCTACCACAATGCACTGCTCTTTGTGGCGTTGCAAGAGCTGCTAATGTGGCCAGGCCAGTGCGCTTCCAGCTGAGAGTGTAAACACACGGCAGCGTTTTCCCTGCTACGGTCTCCGAAGGCTGGTTTAACTCCCAGCGCTCTACATCTGCAAGTGTAGCCATGCCCTTAATCTTTGACTTTTGTTTAATACACTTGTTTTACTTTCAATACAAAGCAACTCAGGGCTGTGTTTCAAGGGAAGGGTGTGTTTACCCTAGTTCAGTTAACAAGCTGTAACGTACTGACTCTTTAACAGAGAAGTGAACTTAATATCTTCTGTGAATGTAGAGTGATAGGGGCTGTGCATTGCAGAGAACCATCTTGGAGGCATTCGGGGGCTGGTGTTCACCAGTTGTTAGCAGGGTTGGGCTGGGAGAGTGCCGAGCAGTTTGCTGGTGAGGAAAACAGAGAGGTGTGGTAGGGAGCTGACACACCGTCTAATCTCCAGCACAACTCACTTTTGCTGAGGCCGAGGGGTAACACAGTGGCTCCCAGCTCTGGATGTCCCCAGTGGCTTGTTAAGGTGGTGCCATGTACTAGGACGGGGGTGGCCAAATGTACTGACCCTCTGAGCCGCATCCGATAATCTTCATAACCTCGAGAGCCGGGCGTGCCTGCTGGGGCTCGGGCCTTCAGCTCTGTGGGGCTCCCCTGCCCCATGGCAGGCACCTGCCAAGGCTCAGGGCCCCAGTAGGTGCACCCCACGGGGCTGAAGCCCTGAGCCCCACCAGAGGGCAGAAGCCACAAGCTCCCCTCCCCACCTGTCTGTTAGGTAGAGAAGGGGGGGGGCATCCCCCATTAGCTAGGATGCGGGGGATGGTGTCCCTAGCCTCTGTTGCCAGAAGCTGGGAATGAGCAACAGGGGATGGATCACTTGATGATTACCTGTTGTGTTCATTCCCTCTGGGGCACCTGGAAATGGCCACTGTCGGAAGACAGGATACTGGGCAAGATGGACCTTTGGTCTGACCCGGTGATGGTTGTTCTTATGGTAGGCTCCGGGAGCCGCACTTTAACTATAAAAGAGCCACAGGTGGCTCACAAGCTGCAGTGTAGCCACCCCTGTACTAGGAGCTAGTCCTCACCTTTCCTCTATCAGCCTGTCCCATAGCTCGGTGGTTAGGCTGCTCTCATGACAGACTACGCTGTTTAGAGCCTTTCTCCCTCTGAGGTAGAAGGTGGGGTCTTGAACCTGGGTCTCCAGCACCTCAGGTAAGTGCTCTAGCTACTGGGTTAAAAGTTAGTTGTGGGGGTATTGCCATCTTCTCCATGGCTGTTTGTTTTGCATGGAATGAGGCAGGCGCCTACCTCATTCTCACAAGAAACAGTGTAGGTGCCTAAGCCGCCGGCTCCAGGAGAGGGGCCACCCATGGATCACGATCAGAGCAAGGTGCCCAACTCCATGAGAGGGACTTGGGACACACACCCCACATTGGCATCTCCCGCTGACTGTCTGAGGGGGCTCTCCTCTCCA